CCAGCTAGGTAGAAGCAAACCAGAAGGATGTCTAAGAGGCACCAGGAGCAGGTTGTTGCACCACCTTTGGCCACAGCCCTTTGCCATCCTCTTTGACCTGGGCAGTTGTTGAGCAATATAGACCCCAACTTGGCCATAGCAGGAGCATTTGACCAGGTCATAACCCCTGAGGAGCTTCAGAGCCCACCTCCAGCCACTCTTGGCTTCGTTGTAGCCCCTCTCTCCCTGTCTTAGAACCAGGTATTCTTGTGCTGCTCTCAGCTTTTTTTTTTTTTTTTTCTGAGGGAGCTCTCATGTGAATCAAGGCTGACCATCACTTGGTCTCTTGCTCAGTTCCTTCTTCTTGGTCCCATTGTTGTTCCCTACTCTCCAGATCCCCCCAAAATCCTCAGGTTTCGGGATGCTACAGTGTGAGGGAAGGACAAAATACCATAAAGACAACACTCAATGCACAGGCCAGAGTTTTCTGATCAAGTCAGATTCAGACAAGGAAACCTTAGTCAGTTGCATACATCTTTTTCCACAAGGCTAACGGCACCCAGAGCCAAGTATTTTCAGAGTCACCAGAACCTCTCGCTGTCCCTGTGATCCCCCTTGCTCACGCAGGACCCTCTGCCCTAAGCTCACTCTATCATTTCTTCTGACCATTGCTAGCGTCAATGCTTTCTTTGCATTGCCACCAGAGGGTGGCATTATTAAACTCTATCAGACTTCAGAGTAATTCATGGCAAAGCAGGATGCTGGAGTCACTGATGAACAAGTGTAGAAAAATATATTTATGAAAAGTAAGAAAAAAATGAGTCACTACACCCTGCCTGTGGAAGAAACATCAATTTCTTCCACTTTTTTTTTTTTTTAATTGCTTGTTGATACTGAGCAAATGAGAGCCTGTGGCTATTAAATTAACTACAAGCCGTTTCATCAATGATTCACAAAACGCATCGGAATATCTCCTGAATCACAAAGACCAGAGAGGTGTTCCAGTGAAAACCGTTTATTGTTGCTATCACCATTTTCTTTCAGCACCCTGTTTTCCCCTGGTACTAAAAGCAAACGGAATACTACATAAGTTACCTGTACAGCTTGTCCTGAAGAGGACTTGCAGGGAAATGGCTTTTACCTTGTGATGGCAGAGCACCTGGGTCTTAGCAAACATGGAAAGAAGATTAGTAATTGATAAGAGCAAGTATTAGTTCTTTCTCAGTCTTGAGCCTCTGCAAATCCCTTGTTTTTTCTCACTAGCTTCCTTCTTTTTACAACTGCCACCTGAGGAATGTGGCAGGAGGAGATCTTTGTTGAGTAGATGTTCAGGACAAGTCCATTTAACAAGCTTTTAAAGACTATGAAAAGCTACAGCATTTAAGACATGGAGGCATTACCACAAAGTGAACAGAAACCAAAATCTTCATGCCAGAATGCTGTCATTCCTCTGGATCTAAGCTCATCACAATAAACATCAAACAAACTGGCCCGAGGAGACTGCTGCTCTTCACCGCTGCCTTGTCTTTTCTTCAGAGAGACCAGCTTTTAACAGGGACCTTCTAGTGATGGTTAGGTGATGGCTGGGAAACTTAAAAAGAGAACAATTATATCTCAGCTATCAACTGCTTCTCAGAGGGGAAACAGCCTGAATTTGTCACCTTCCTTTAGGAACACGTTGGGAACATTGGATAGATCACCGACCAAGACAAAGAAAGCTCCTTGTGGTCGTTTCACATTTAAGAAGAATACAATTCATGGGTTTTGCATCAGTGATTTTTGTTTTAAGGAAAATTCAGGATACAAAATATTTGCTTCTGTCATATTTTGAGGTTTGAAGTTTCAGTTCTTTTTTTTTGTGAGGAGTTCTGAATATAGCAGGTTTGCAAACACAGCACATGGAAAGAAAGCAAATTAGGCTGAGGAAAACAACAGCCAAGACCATCCACAGAATTCCAGTGGACCAAACCAGCAGAATGCATAGGACTGGACTACTGAAGGAACAAAAAGATGTGGGGAACTGCAACTTAATAGTGTTGAGCAAAGAAAACACATTTTGGGCTTAAATCTTTTGCTTCTTAGTGCAAGCAGCCGTCTTAGACAAAGGGAGTTCATACGTTCAAAAAGACTGAGGTAAATTATGAGTGAATCACCTGGGACAACAGTGGTTGTCTCTAAAACTAGGAAATAATTCCCTTTCCCTTTTTAGCCCTCTGTCAGATTCCTGCAGGAATAAATTAAAAATTATGAGGATGACAACTGCACAGTGAATAGGTGGCACAAACTCTTCGCTAACAAGCCAAGATTGGAAGTACAGATGTGCAAACTGGGATTCCAATTCACTTGAATTGCAAAAGAACAACTGCACAGGGCCTGACCACACAAGAAGGGGTTGGTTGCCTGATGGAGAGGACAGTTTGTTGAGAAAGGCAATCGTCTGGCCAGCTGGGACTTCGGCTGCCCAGATCCTGCGCTGACCCACACCATCAATCAAAATACTGATTTTTGCAATGTTTAGCAGCAAATAGCATGACTGAAAGAAGAGCTATACTGGTGTCTGGAATAATCCAGGAGGTCAACCTGGAAGACCCACCACTTCTCCTGGACTGAGATCTATGATTCTCCCTACCTCCCCCAACCACCTCCTGTAGCTTTCTTGTTTCTGCTTCTGAATGTGACTCTGCGGTTTCTCCTGATAACAAGCAAGCAGCATTTCTTCTGTTGAGAAACAGTTTTTACTTCTGCTTGGTTTGGCCTCTTTGGGGACATAGAAGAGAGCAGTGCTCACCAGCTGCTAGCACAGCTGGCAGGACTCAAAACCACCCCATCTGACCAGCACATATCCTCTGCGCTCTCTTCTCCCGTCCCAGGATCCCCCAAAAGACAGATAGGGCCCACCGCACTCTCAGGAGAAATTAATAGAAGCTGCCGAGCTTCCTGCTGTGACAAAAAACCACAGTAAACCTCCACATCCTCTGCCCTCACACTGCAGACATGCGCGCGCATCCAACATTGTATTTGATATTTTGACCACTGTGACCATTGGTGCCAGGTCAGTGGTAGGAGGTAGACTTGTTGTCTATAAAAACCCACCACGGGAGACATCAAGCAAAAAGGCAGCATGAATTACTGTGCCTCTGTTTCTTTTCTTAGCAAGAGAATTAGGAGTTGGGGAGATCAAACAACAATGAATAAAAGGAGCCTTCCCTACGCTAAATCTATATGGCTCTTTTCTTCTACAATTCTATAGCATAACTTGCAAAATTAGCTACCTGGTAGAAAGGGACTAGAAACACACCTCCCACACGCCCACCCAGTGCCTTCCTCCTCTCCAATCACTACAGGTGATCCTTTGATTATTTTTTTCTGAGATCAAGATGCATTTTACCACCCATAAGAACGAACAACCTTTCTGCTGAATGACAGCTGCTTAGTGACATCTCCTTTTAATGATTAGTGGGTGAGATGAAGCTGCTTTAACTCAGTAATCAGGCTGTCAGTGGAAACTTTCCATTTCCTTACCCGTTATGTGTTTAATTTTATTTCTGAGTTTAAGGGACCATCTCTGGTGAGCATTGAGGAAAGAAGCATTCGTGATACAATCTGTAAGGAAGTATGAAGTTTCCGTTCAGAGACGTAGCTACCTAGTGACATCTGCTTTTTGCAGCTGCTGGATATTGCTGTGTCGGCAGCACCTCCTGGACAGCTACCTGATGAGCAGCAAGAGACTCTGCACCCGTAGAGCTGAGAAGCTTCTTCACATCATCTGAGAAGAGAGAAGGAGAAAAGGTAAAATTCACAAAATGCAGTTGCTGAGTGTATCGTGAATGCTCATTGTGTGTATGACTGTAACACTTTTTCATCTACCTTTTGTTGCTGCTCAGGTAATTTTTAAATTAATTTTTTAAATTACATTTTTTAATTAATTTTTTAAAGAACTCCTGCACCATCAGAAGTGGGTGTATCTGTGTTATGTGGCCATATGTTTTCAGCTTTAAATATTTCAGCATATTGTGCTGAACCTAGATTAGATTCAGGTATGTCTAGGTGTGGTTGTTGCAAAGCTGTAATCTCTAGACCATTGGTGTCAAACAGTTTTGTCCCTGTCGTTTATAATTCAGATTAAATTCCTCTCTGTGTGTATCAGAACAGAACTGTTGGCTGGAGAGGTGTCCCACCTGGGACTGCACACAGCAGGGGTCAGGATAACGATCGTCAATGTTTGTTGTTATGTGGCAGCACCATACAAAGACAAATAAAGACAAATGATATTCACTTTTCTTCTGCTTTCCATTCATAAAAATAAAGAGAAAGGGGAAGGACATAACTCAGGACATAACTCTGGCACGTTAGGCTAAAAAATGACACTTGCTGGGATGTGAATAACACAAACCGTAATACATCGGCAATATATTTGTACTGTGTCCAAGTTACTTAACTCAAAGTAACACTACTTAAAAACTCTGTCTCTGCCTATTAGAAAAGAACATACAGACAAAAATTAAAAATTTCTGTTACTCATTTAGCCACTGAAAAGAGCACTTTCTGAAAACTCACGTCAGCTTTCAGTAAGCATGATTTCATTAAAAGGTGCATTGTTATTACTGTCTCCCTTGCCTGGCTGGAAAGGTGGGTGAAATTCTGAATTGCCATGAATAGTGGCTTCACTTTTTACTTTATTCCATGCAGGATTTATCCCCCTCTGATTTGATACCTGTGGTCCACATCTTTTGATCCTATTTCCTCTCTGCCAAATGAACAGCGTTCTGCGTGCTCGACATCTAAGTTACACAGTGCTGCAAGGACTCAGCACACACATGTTAAGGACAGGACATTTTGGAAGCATGCATATGCATCCCGTAATGCTTAAATTGTGTTTGAGAGCCTGTGATAAGTGCACTGGAGCTGCAAGCTAGTCACTGCTCGTGATTCGGGCTCATGGGGGATCCACACGCCCTTCATGCACCGAAAGGCACTGACATTTTTATATTCTTTCCTTGTCAGGAACTGGGAGAAAAACCATGAGTTCTTCAAGTACAGAGTCCTTTGAAGTTGAAACTTCAAACTTTTATTACTACTATGAAAATTATAATGATGCTCCCAAGCCATGCAGCAAAGAAAGCGTCAAGAGGTTCGCAGCCTCCTTCCTCCCTGTCCTGTACACCCTCGTGTTCCTGGTGGGGCTCATGGGCAATATCCTGGTCATCGTGGTCCTCTTCAAGTACAAGAGGCTGAAGAGCATGACTGATGTGTACCTCCTCAACCTTGCTATCTCTGATTTGCTCTTTGTTTTCTCCTTGCCGTTCTGGTCTTATTTCACAATAGACCAATGGGTTTTTGGAACTCCCTGGTGTAAAATCATTTCATGGATCTATGTGGTTGGGTTTTACAGTGGGATCTTTTTTATTATGCTGATGAGCATAGACAGATACCTGGCAATCGTTCGTGTGGTGTTTTCCTTGAAAGCCAGGACTGCCTTCCACGGCTTGATTACTAGCCTCGTTGTATGGCTAGTAGCTTTTTCAGCCTCAGTTCCAGAACTTGTATTTAGAGAATCTTTTGATGAACATAACCATACAACCTGCAAGCCAATATATCGAGGCAATTTCACAACATGGAAACTTTTTTCCACTTTGGAAATCAACATTTTAGGGCTCCTAATCCCTCTTATAGTTATGATGTTTTGCTACTCCATGATCATTAAAACATTAGTTCACAGTAGGAATGAGAAAAAGAACAAGGCTGTGAAGATGATCTTTGCTGTCATGATCGTGTTTTTCTTCTTTTGGACCCCTTACAACATTGTCATTTTCTTACAACTGCTGGAAATGATTGGAGTCCTTCGCGACTGCCAAGTGAGCAGGAATCTGGACTATGCTTTCCAGGTGACGGAAATCCTCGGCCTTTTTCACTGTTGCCTCAACCCTGTCATCTACTTCTTCATGGGGGAAAAATTCAAGAAGTACCTGAAGATGCTCTTTAAGAACTGGCACTTACCTGGAGATATCTGCCAGTGGTGTGGGGCTCACATCACATACCACACCGAATCTACCAATTCGTTCCACACACAATCCACGGGGGATCAAGACGCCCTGTAAAGCATTTCAGACCAACCACGGAACTCACCAGCGAGCAAACCGACAAGAGCAGGAACTCCGAAAAGCTCAGCAAATGCACATGCATGTAACAATAAGCTAGTGCCAGATAATTCCTTACTTCAGCTTTGATTTCTGCCTCTATATTTTCTGAATATTATGACAGAAGGTGTCCTAGATGTCCCTAGATGCAGGGGCATGGAGGAGCAGAGGAGAGACAGCTGCTTGTCATCAGTGCGTGTATTTGGAAAATATATTCATTTATTCAAGAAGGATGGTTATTACTATATTATTTTTTTTAATTCTACAGTTGATTTGTGTAGGACTTGTTCGCTGTGACTCTTAGCAAGCCATTAACAGTACCTGTGACTGTGAAATGTTTCATGTCGGAGAGGCTACACCCTCTGTCATTAAGAAAAAGGACACAAAATATATTCTTTATGTGCACAAAGATGCAAAGCAAATGCATTATATTGTGTTATAGACACATTTTCTCTTAGGTATCCAAGCTGCCACATCTGCCTATGTGTAGGTGTCTATATAGACATTTTGAATTACTTTATCACTGTAATTCAGGAAAACAAATCTGTATTTTAATTATCATAGCAAATGTTTTACTTATTTGAATAAAAGTATTTTTAAAAACTTATTTTCCAGCATGTGTGAATAAATTTGAAGCATCTTGGTTAAAAGTGTATCTTTTAAAGTGAATGTTCTTTGTTCCAAAAAATACTTAACCCCAGGACTCAATTTTCATTCACTGGAGCCATATCTGGCAAACAAAAGACAGTAAAAACAGAGATTGTGTAGAAGTCATAACTCAGAAACCACACAAAGAATCCCAGCATTTGATAACAGCAAAATGTGAAGAGAGTGATGCCCCAGTAGCCGCTGACAGATCTACGTGATATTAATCAGAGATCTGGAACAGGAAGGAAACTCACACAACAATAATCAGATTTTGTCACAAAAATAATTTAAAAAGAGGCAAAAATCAGTAATGCAGTAGCAGAAAAAGTTGAAAAATACATATTGAAAGATACTTCTGGTGGGTCTTTTTGCTGGACAACAACCACTCAGCAGAAAGACTTTTATCTTTCTTAGTCTGTCAATAACAAATTGCCTGCTCAGGATCCAGGCACGGCTGCCAAGAGCAGACAAGACATTGAGATGCATCAGGAAAGGGCTGGAAAAGAAATGGAAAAATATTGCAGTGCCGTTGTCCTCATCACCCTAAATAAGAAACATCAGTGGAAGCTCACCTCCATGCGACCTCTCTCATGATACAAGACTGACAATAAAAAGCAGCACACTTAAATACTCACACACACACACATCCATCATCATTAATTCTGGAAATGCATTACCATTACCAGTTTGCTGAGGCTGACAAGCAACAAATTGCATTAATGCAGATAATGAGAACAGCTGTGGAAGACATCACTTACGGTAAGAAAGTGACATCCTTCCCAAGAAAAAGACTAAAAATTCTTACTACTCAAAACGCTCCAAGTCACTGAGTAAATCAGTGGAGAAAAATTGCTGCAAGGGGTGGGTCAAGCCACCCATTACCTATTTTGAAAGGGAAGAGGAAGATAAATTGCAAATGTCAGGTGCTGCAAAGTCCCACTGAACCTAACAACATGTCACCCCCAAGCTGGTTCGGCGCATTGTCCTCACAGACGATGGCGAAGGCACTGTGAACTGCTGAGCTATTTGTCTGTCAAGTGCACAGACTAACCTGGAAGCCATTATTTTTTTCTTGGTCCTACTCTGTAAACCTTCTAGTCAGCACGAACAAACAGGTCCTTTGGAGAAACCTTGCTGGCCAGCCCAGGGGAAGGGCTGCCTGCGCTGGCCCAGCAAAACTGATGCTCAGCCAGTAAAATGCAAGCTACAGGCTCTTGACAACCATGAGATAAGAGAGGGCCAGGGCTACAAGCAGTCCAGGCTGGTCTAGCTCTAGGCACACTGCAGTGGTGGGGGAGGACACCCAATCTGCTCATGTGTGGAATTAACGGGCCGCACCCAGCGGCCATGCAGTGTTGCCATAAATGGAGTGAGCGTAAAGATGCTTCACATCACTGCTCAGCTTTGTGCCTTTGGTGCAGAGTGTGCCCAGTGCAGCCAGAGCTCCCACCGCGTGAACATTGTCCTTGTTTCTCTGCCCAAATAACCTCTTCTAGTCCTACCAGTAATACTCACAGCTACTCAATGTGTTTGCTGGGTGAGCAACTGAGCTGAAAGTTGTGCCCTGAGCAGGTTTGCTGGATTAGGTGCAAAGAGGAGCTCACCTTGAAGTGATGGGCTCAGGAATCCTGGTCCTGAAGCTCATGAAAAGTGGGTGGTTTTGGCCCCTCTGCCACCAGTAAGAAACCTTCTTCCCCCATACACAGAGCCGCAGTGGATAATGCTGCTCCTCTTTTGAGAGAGAGCTTTGAAACCCGCTGATGAGAAAGGACGAGATCATAGTATGAATACAGACAAAAATAAAGCAGGGATTTGCAAAATGTCCGTTGACCAAAAGGTATCATTTTAGCTGAACAAGAATTGCCAAGCAATGAACGATGGTATGTACAGACCTACTGAACCATGAAAGAGAAGGGATAGACGTTTGAGTGAAGCAAAGCTGACTCATTTGTAAACACACATTTTTACATCAGGGTTCCTTGGAAGGCCAGCCCGCATCCTCTCTTCTGTTGTGCCATAGAAAGGTAGACAATGGGAAAAAAAATCAGCTTAATTATATTAAATATAAATAATGATGAAAAGGTAAAAAACAAGTTGGTTGGTTTGTTTTCATACAGTGCTTGGCCACTACAGTCACTCCCTAAAAGCTTTTGAAAAGGAGACTGAAAATGAAGAATCAACGTAACTGTGGTGAGATTTTGAGTATTTGCATAACTGAGAAGACCATTCCAAGATGACGTAGTACTGGTGGAATCTGCAGCCATCTTACTGGAATACAGCAATGATGGATGCTGGAGAAACCACTCCTCACGGAGCAGGCACTACCAGCCAGGAGACACCAAGTTAGATCCTTCCAGGATGATTTTCTCTTTCACAGTCATTCAGAAGCAAAATCCCTCAGAAAAAAAACAAAACAAAACAAAACAAAACAAACAAACAAAAAAATCCCATCCTATAGGACAATCATTGAGTCAAAGACATTTCTCACAGAAATGAGGCTCAAAACCAGAAAAGCACTTTGTCTGTTCCAGACAGGCAAAATCCAAGTCCTCTGCCAACTCCTTGGTGGAGGACTGACATGACTGACTGTCCTCATTTCAGCTGAGACAGAGTTCACTTTCTTCATAACAGCTAGGAAGAAAAAAATTCACTCTGTATAAATGCAACCCAAACACACGATTGATCAGTGCATCATACTCCTTTAGGTTTTGTGTTAGGGCTGTTTTCTTTTTAATTTCAAGTCATCTTGGAAAGGTTGATGTTTCTCTGGGTTTTAGGGGTTTTTTTCAGAGTACCAGCATGCATGCAGCATACGTAGCTCAGTAACTGCATACTGCAAGTTTTTTTATTATTTCAGGTGTCACAAAATAAACACTACTAAGGCACTAAAACATTTTTAAAATTCCAAGAAGATGTTTGTTTCCTTGCTTTTGCTTTGAATGATTATAGCAAGTAATCAAGAACCTGATCTGCAAGAATCTGATAATTTTCCACAGATATGAAATCCTCATGAAAGGCACTCGGTGCTGCTAGCAACCTGTGAGACAACAAAGCCTGAATGAACATTGATGCTATCAGATCCACTGTTCTGCTCAAAAGAGGCCAGTGGTGTTTGATCAGCATCTTCTGAGAGGCTCCAAGCAGCCAAGTTCAAGAAGAGACTTTTCTACCTGGGACAGTGATTGGAACAACGGGTGTACATCCCTGCGTGAAAAGCAGATTTGTCTCTTTTGCACAGGGACTTCGCACTCCTTAAAATATCTCCCCAGAAGTACTGTGGTTTGGGCAGGGGGGATCGAAGAGAGGGTTCCTCCCTGGCTTTTAACCTGTCATTGTCACACAAATAGAAAGAGCTGTTACTACCAGCTAGTGGTAGTAACACAAGTATCTTAATCAAAGCGAAGAAAGACCACAACAGATCTCTGTACTTGCTTGTAAGGCGGTAAACTGAAATTTGACCACAAGCAAGACCATGACCGCAGACTGAGAGTGACTTGCCTTTTCCGCTACCGAACTATGTAGGAAAAGTGTAAAAAGCACAGAGAAGAAAGAGGATGGCTTTTCCTCTTGCTTATGCCCTTGTTGGTCATTCCCAAGTACCAGGAATGAAAGGAAAACAAGGCTGGGTGGTGCAAGGAACAACAACGAGAAGCTGCAGAGGACAGGTCTACCCTTGCTATAAAAAAAAAAATCTTTACACTTTCTAGAAGAGTGGAACCCATAGCACAAGGTGTCACACAAAAACCTGAAATGCTACAGAAAAGGGTCTGAAGGGTTTACAAAAGACAAAAAAAAAAAAAAAAGGAAGTTTGGAATGAAGCTGTTTTATCCTCAAGTTCTGCTTCATCAACCCACCCTTGCATCATGGAGGCCACTACTCACTTCCTTTCCTCTGAAATATTAAGGAACTTCCAAAATTCCCCATGGGGAGGGTTGGCTCCCATTTGCTCCCAGCTTTTTGCATGAATGCGAATGCTGCACCCTCCTTTCCCACAGTCACTTGGGGTTGGGAGCAAATCCATCCCTTTCATCAGCAGTTTGAGCTCACATTCTCTGTGTATAGCAGTCATGCAAGCAGGATGTCTGGCTGGTGACCACACTGGCAGCACATTTTGCACTTGAAGAGGCAGTTTCATGGAAATCTGAACACTAGAGAGAAGAGAATTTTGGTGGCAGCTGCATTGGCTAGTGGTCAACACCTCCTACCCCAACACATTTTGTCTCAGCTTCAGATTAAAAGTATCTTAATGTAAGCACAGCCTATTTTTCAACACCACTGAAATAAAGTATTTCATTATTTCTGCTCTGAATTC